AGCAGCTCCGATTGCCTTTAATTCAGTGATAACAGCATATTTCATCATGTTTGTGAAATGCAAAACAAATTCAAACCGTCACACCACACTGAACAACAGCAACCACCTCAGCCAACTGCACAGCTTCGATAATGAGAAGAGCACTTTTCTCAAAAAAACTTTTCAAAGCCTAGCTCCTATTGAATGCATTCACCTTTAAAAAGGATGTCACTTTGTCGGTACTTTATAAGCATTGATTGCTATCTCATTTTTCTAAGTGCCCCAGGTACTTTTGCATTCAGTATGCTGAACCAGTTCAGTTTGGCTTGATTCAAAAATCAGAAAACTGGAAGGTGTGTGTAAGAAAGTGATGCCCGTGTACCATCTTCCTTTATGCCAGATATAACCTCAACCAGCAGAGGAGGACGCAGCCCCATCCACATCAATGCAGCTGAGGTGGAGAGGGTCGAGAGCGTCAAGATCCTCAGATTGATGATAACCCACAATCTGTCCTGGATTTCCTGCACAAATGCAACAGTCAAGAAGGCACAACAATGCCTCTTCTTCCTCAGGCGACCAAGGAAATCCGATGTGTCCATAAGGACCCTCACCAGCTTCTACCGATGCACAACAGAAAGTATTCTTTCTGGGTGCATAACGACCTGGTACAGCAACTGCTCTGCCCAGGACCATACAAAACTACAGAAAGTTGTGTGCCCAGCCCAGACCTTCGTGGAAGCCAACCTCCCGTCCATGGACTCCATTTACGCTTCACTTTGCTGTGGAAAAGCTGCCAACATCATCAAAGATCCCTCCCACTGCAGCAATGCTCTCTTCCAACCTCTTCCATCAGGCAGAAGATACAGAAGCTTGAACACACGCACACTAGCAGGTTGAAGAACAGCTTCTTCCCTGCTGTTGTTAGACTGCTGAATGAACTATCCTCAAATAATGTTGATCGTGCTAATGTTTATCTTGCTTTACGTGCCTCCTGTGCAGTTGTAACCTTGTATGCCTCGCTCTGTTGAAGCACCTTGTGATCTGTCTGTTTTTGTTTGCTATGATCTGTCTGTACTGCACGCAAAACAAAACTTCTCACTGTACTACAATAAATCAAATCAGCATAGCGTTTCCCTCGGTTTCCTTTGACCTCAAGCTGAACCACTTACCTTTTTCCTGCTTGGCACATGCCAAGTGTCATTTTGGGAATTTCTAAATAAATGGTTGCCCCGTTTCTGTGTTGGTAACTTCATTGGCTGAATGGAATGGCTAACAGTCAAACGGTGAATATATTTTTCTCTCTATCATTCTACTTATATCTTCAAGGCCCAGACCTATTTCTGCTGACCCAGTGTTTAAATGAGATGGGAAATCCTAACATGTTAAAAATTGGAAGTAATGCTCCCTCTTAACCCACTATCACTTGCCCAGCAATCTCTGCAATGTATTTGTGCTACGGGGACACAAGAGGATTTATTAAAATTGGAGGCTCACAGCATTAATAGAAACTATTAGTAAGAAAGTAGAACTACGGCATCATAATACTGTGTCATAAGAATGATTAACTACAGTGTTGTTAGCTCAACAACATTAATGTCCAGCCCTTTTTACTCCCTTGTTCATGGCCTTGGTTATTTCTTTGTTATCAGTCCAATCTGGTTGGCTTTAAGCAACTGTCAGTTCATGTTGATGTGTCAGTGGTGGTCTGGAGAGTTTTTGGCCAAGTTTGTCGATGTCCTTGGGCTGTAAATACCAAGAATATCCATTTCCTTTGACATTTAGGAATGTTCTTTCCCCCTTTGTTTGAAACTAATACAGTAACCGGGTTGACAATGCAAGAGAGAGCAATGGTCGAAGACGGGGAAGCTGTTTTGGTGCCTTGAGTTTACACAACTTATTTATTTTGTATTATTTTAAGCTCGTGTAGTGCTCCAAATAACATTTTATTTTTTTTTGGTAAACCAGAATTATACAGATCTGTGCCCTTTTATCAAAATGTTATGTAACCAACCCTCCTGCTTCAATGGACTTAATTACTTGCTTTCTTCCAGGTAACTACCTTCAGATTCAACTTGAGCCCAGATTTCAGCTGCTGTGTATTGGGATCCCAAATCAAGTGGCCAGCCAAGTTCAAGAATAAATGGTCATGGTCATTTTCTTCCCATTCCCCAATCCCACTGAAAACTGATCAAATAGAGCTGGGAACAATAATAACTTACATTTATATAACACCATTAACAAGTATTGATGTGGCCCAAGTCTCTCCACAAGGATATTGTTGAACTAAATTTGAAATTGAAGCAAGTAAGGAGCTATTAAGACAGGTGTCCAAATACGTGAGTAAAGAGATTGCTTTAGAAGCCATTTAAAGTAAGAGATAGAGGCAGGGGGACAGAAGATGGATTCTGAATCTCAGGGCCCAGGCACTTAAAAGCACAGCTACCAATGATGGAGTCGTTAAAATGAGGAATAAGCAAGTGTCTGGAATTAAAGGAAGGAGAGATCTCAGAGGGTTGTATTGCTGAAGGAGGTTACAAATACAGAGAGGAGTGAGTCCACACAAGCTGGTTGGGAAGGGAATTCCGCTTTCTTTATCTAAGCTGCAGGAATATGAAATTATCCCACAGGATTCTATGAAATCCCTCTACAGTCTCGCTATTGACACTTTTCCCCGCCAGATTTTCTCCAGAACCCCTAAATGAATGCTCTCAAAAGCCTCTGTGAGTTTTCCACAGTGAGGCTTATGGGATATTTTGATAAGGTTTGCATAATCAGTTACTCTGGGAGTCATGGCTAAATAATTTATGTCGCAGTGTGGGATCTGACATCATGAACCTCGATGTGATGGGAACGTCTACCTTGGATTTTTTTGTGTGTGTGTGTTTTAAAATACCAGAGTAGCAGCCAACAAGAAAGGATTGCTGTGGCTTTAATTTTAATGACTTACAGGCATCAATCAGCCAGATCTGAGGGCACGGGCTACATTTCTTTCTGTAGCGCAGGTGTTCATTAAAGATTTTTGAACCTCTCAGGCATGCCCAGTACTGGTACTGCAATCAGAGCCACCATCTATTAACAGCCCATACTAATTACTGCCTTCTAACGATTCCTGCAGTTCCATGACACAATATCCTTTAATTTCTGATAAAAGTCTTGTGATACTGCGGTGTTGGAGGTAATTAAGGAGCCCTTTACAATCCACTGCGTTGTGATCACGGTCCTGAAAGTCCAGTTGTACAGACGATTCATCGTGTTTGTTTTAATTATGTTCTGCAATGTCGCCCACAAGAGTCCAATTAACGGGCAACAAAAGCCTACCTCATTTTCATGTTACTTTCAGTAAGAGAGAGAGTAACCCATCTCACAGTCCCTGGGCTGCAGTCATTCTGACTCTGTGTGTGTGTGTGTGTGTGTGTGTGTGTGTTTTTCTCCCCCTTGTTTCTTTTTTTTAACTCCAATTATAGTTTCTTCTTGGATGACATCAGTATGCCATTGAGGTAGTCTCCCTAGGTTTTCTGCCAGAGGCAAATGAATACAGTATTCAGTGATGATGTGCAGACCATTTGGATCTGTTAACTTTGGGACTATTTTGGATTCCGTGCCTATGCCCAGGATGAAAGGGAGCTTAGGGTTGATTTTCAGTTGTACTGACACATGGGACGGCCTTATTGAGACAAATGCATTAGGCTCTAACATGCTTAGCACAGAAATGAGCTGCTTCATGCAAAGGGTATGTATATGTGAACTAGGTGAAAGTATTGGTGTACTGGGTGCTTCTGAAAGAGGCTCTTAACGCTTATATATAATCGTCAACACCCTTGATTCTGCTAAGCCACCTCCACAGTATATCACGGTGCCCATTAACCCTTTATTCACAATTAAGTTCTTCAGAATATAATTACATTTCTTCTGCCAAATGTAGAAAAATTGCTATTTTACAATTCAAATGTCTTACAAAGGCACCGATGACAAGCCATGAAAGAAAACCATCAAAATACCACAAAGCTATTAACCTGAATGTTTATAGCAATTCAGAGATGTGTTTCATTAAAGTATGTAGATTATAAGTATTCTGCTATTTTACAGATATGAGTATAATTTGTCCTCTTGTACTGTGTTCTCCTCCTTACAGTTTTCAAGTAGGGCACTTTAGTCAGTGAGCTGCTAATTTCATCCTGCAAATAAATCCCATGATTGTTTTTGATTATGTATTTATAAAGGCTGTTTCAAATGAGCCCTCCTCTCCCTGTAGGACTTGGGAATGTTGATTGTGTTGCGTGAGGTATGATGGTGCTATCGAGACTCAACGATTCTCCTGTTCTGATAATTTCAGGGTCTTCACATCGTAAAAGTCGATTCTAGATTGAGGTTGATCCTATCGTATACAATGTCATTTGAGATAGTGCCCTGTTTATGGAATGACTTGACACAATCACCCTAGCCCCTAACATTTTCCATTTTAGAATTAGAATTAGCTTTATTGTCACATGTACTTGGATAAGTCCAGTGAAAAGTTTACAAGTTGCTATTTACAGCACTATCTTAGGTACCCAGGTACAGATTCTTAAGTACAAATTCTTAGGGAAAAAAAATTAGAAAAATACAGAAGTAAGAAGTACAGCAATGGGTAAAGGTATAAATAAGCAGGGACCTGGCATCACCACTAACTAAAACCCTGATGTTCCACCAGATGGTGAAGTTTTGAAACCCCTAGGTTGGTCCATCATTGGCAGCAGTCCCCTTCATTCAATTTTTAGATTTAATCCTTTGGGCACCTGTTGGGTATAGACCTGCAAACAAGCATTTTAGTTTAAAGATAACAAGGTGTAGAGCTGGATGAACACAGCAGGCCAAGCAGCATCAGAGGAGCAGGAAGGTTGACGTTTCGGGCCTAGACCCAATGCTGCTTGGCCTGCTGTGTTCATCCAGCTCTACACCTTGTTATCTCAGATCCTCCAGCATCTGCAGTTCCTGCTATCTCAGAAGCGTTTTAGTTTGTTTACCCAGTGGCAGCTGACTCATCCAATGACTCATCTAATCTCCCACAGAGGAACCAAAGGGCCCCAGTCATCACCAATCCCTTCCAGAATTCTAAAGGTCTGACAAATTCATTTGAATTGCCAGGCTTCAGCTCCAGAATTACATCAGGTTGGTCCTTTTAAACAAATCCTGCCCCAAAAGTTGCTCCTGTCATTTGTTCAGAAGGTATCATTGAGAAGAACAAACATATCCCAAAGGTTTTCAGTTTCATCTCTGAAACAGTGAGGAGTGGACAGTTGCCTGTGGGAACGTTCTCAAGTGGAAAACAAGGTAAAAAAAATGCTAAATTTTACTCATTTTAAACAAGCGGAAATACATAAAATCTCCAAACTTTTATGCTTCTGTTGTCATCTGACTTTGTTGAGAAAACTATGAGTTTTGTTTTGGTTTTATTTAAGTGCAACTTTAATGCCAAACAGTAAATTGGCAACTGTGCCAGGGTTAGGATTAGATTTAGTTAGATACCATTTGAAATTTCTGTTTGTTAGATTACCTTGATTTTGGACAGGAATCCTGTTTGGTTTATCAGAAAGGTCTGCACACATTAGAAAGTTCAAAAATTGCCACCATATGATTTGATATTTAGCTCATTACTCGAGTCCTGTGGCTGAGACACTTTCAGGGAGGCTGGGAGTATGTGGGTGAGCTGTAAATGTCTGGAGCACTTCGCCTCGATGTGGAAGCTCTGTATTTTCAGTAGCTCAGTAACAGGAATACAGAGTACTGGGCTAATGGTAAGATTCTTGGTAGTGTGGATGAGCAGAAAGATCTCGGTGTCCATGTACATAGATCACTGAAAGTTGCCACCCAGGTTGATAGCGTTGTTAAGAAGGCGTACAGTATGTTAGGTTTTATTGGTAGAGGGATTGAGTTTCGGAGCCATGAGGTCATGTTGCAGCTGTACAAAACTCTGGTGCGGCCGCACTTGGAGTATTGTGTACAGTTCTGGTCACCGCATTATAGGAAGGATGTGGAAGCATTGGAAAGGGTGCAGAGGAGATTTACCAGGATGTTGCCTGGTATGGAGGGAAGGTCTTATGAGGAAAGGCAGAGGGTTTTGAGGCTGTTTTCGTTAGAGAGAAGAAGGTTAAGAGGTGACTTGATAGAGACATACAAGATGATCAGAGGATTAGATAGGGTGGACAGTGGGAGCCTTTTTCCTCGGATGGTGATGGCTCGCACGAGGGGACATAGCTTTAACTTGAGGGGTGATAGATATAGGACAGATGTCAGAGGTAGGTTCTTTACTCAGAGAGTAGTAAGGGCGTGGAATGCCCTGCCTGCAAAAATAGTAAACTCGCACACTTTAAGGGCATTTAAATGGTCATTGGATAAACATATGGATGATAATGGAATAGTTTAGGTTAGATGGGCTTCAGATTGGTTTCACAGGTCGGCGCAACATCGAGGGCCAAAGGGCTGTAATGTTCTATGTTCTATGTTCTATCATCCACATTTGAAGGATCAATTTGTGCCACACAACAGGTCAAGTGGATAACACGGGGTTGAATACAAATGCTCGGGAGAGAGAGACTGGATGTCAGCACTGAGGAGAGAGAGAGACTGGAGGTCAGGGCTAGGAGAGAGAGAGGCTGGAGTTCAGGGCTGGGAGAGAGAGAGACTGGAGTTCAGGACTGGGGCAGAGAGATTGGATGTTGGGGAGAGAGAGGCTGGAGGTCAGGGCTGGGGGAGAGAGGCTGGAGGTCAGGGCTGGGGGAGAGAGGCTGGAGGTCAGAGCTGGGAGAGGGAGAGGCTGGAGGTCAGCGCTGGGGGAGAGAGAGGCTGGAGGTCAGGACTGGGGGAGAAAAGCTGGATGTCAGGGCTGGGGAGTGAGAGATTGGAGGTCAGGGATGAGGGAGAGAAGATGGAATTTGTCTCTGGGGGAGAGAAGCTGATGATCCACATTTAGAGGAGCAAATGACTTCCTTATGGGTCTAGAGAGAGTAATGTTGCCCATCTGAAGTTGGAGTGAAGATTCAGTTTAAATCAATCCTCTTGCTTCTCCAGGTTAAAGTGATTATTGAAGCACAATATTATTAACTTGTTCTAATTGTTTGCTGTACGTTTAAGTGAATACTCATTGAGAACCCTTCAGTTTGCTATCCTACAATCGCTACCTAATTCATGAGATTACCATAACAAAAGTTGAAGAAAAAGGAAAGCTGTATGCTGAATATTTATCACTAGCCATTCCTGGGAAAAAAAATTAGAAAAATGCTAACCTTGTCAAACTTGTCAAACGTAGTGACCCACTGGTGCGAGAGACCTCAAAGGAACTCTCTGCACTTAAGCACATTGGGATTGTCATGCAAGGGAGCTTATGCAAAGTTGCCTTTATGAATATTTAGAATTTGAGGGATGAAGGCAAGGACACCTTGAAATGATAACTTCAGGAGTACAATTTTTTTTAAAGATATATCCAAAGTTCTGACTGTGCTGAGCAACATTAATGCATCTCACTGTGCCTTTCCAGATAGGAATGTTGTAAAAGGGCACCTCAGTGCAGCAAGTCTCAGAGATCTCCCAAAAAAAATACAGCTGCAGCCTGGAAATTTAGTGACAGTGAAGAGAAGTTTCAAAAATGTCAAAGGCAAAACCACAATTTCACAAATGGTTATTGACGTTCACAAGTTATGCAACTGTGTGTGTGTTAATAACTCTACCCTTCAGTTTGGGCTTCAGTTGCACTTCAGAGGAAGGAATCTCACGGTGTGTAGGTCTTGCAATTTGACCTGCCCTTTGGCAGTTGTAAACTATTTCTAAATGCTGTGGACAGGTATTGACCAAACCATATGCCCAGCAGATGTGATTTCTGACTGTTATAGACAGGTAATGACAGATCTGGCATAAGTGATGAAGCTCCAGCACTTACTGTCAATTTCATCCGCGGGCAACAGTTGGCCCATCAAGACAAGGCTCTAATTGGAATAAAAGCAAAAGAAATAGTCAATTAATCTCCGAAGAATTCTGATAATTGCTTTGCCCAGCTACCTGGTGGTTTGTCACATGGCTGTCAAATATGTGTATATTTATATGCGTATATATGTAATGATGTATATGTGAGTATGCATATATATTAAATTGTATATGTATGCTATTTATAAAGCACTCCTGGAAAATGCAAGACTCCCCTGTGTTTGATTGACAAGTAAGTAACTCTTTTAAAGAAATGCGGATACAGGATTCTGAAGTTTGTTTGGCAGGTGTAAAATTAATAATTAACAAGGATAAACCTGTAGTCGCAGTTATGCATTTTTCTCATCTGTGTCTGTTTGCTGCTCAACCACACAATGTTCATTGAAGATTTCTTGATTAATCTCCTTTGGTATCTGTAGTGGACAAACTGCATGAAAATACAATAAATATTAATATAAAGCAAGAATAAAGGGAGACATGAATCTTTCAGTATCTAATACCGAATTTCAAGTAAATTAAATCCTTGAGGATGGTGCCTGCATTTTTGCACTTTGACAAACCAGGTGTAATTACAATGTTCGTTTTATGCAAATAAAACAATTAGTAAGGCAATATTTGAAGTTTATGTTGTGATAATCGAACTCTTCTCTATATATCCAACTACCTTTAGGAAATATCCAAAAAAGTATCTGAGTGACAGACTCTAAGTGAAACAGAGGTTTAAGCGATTTTATCTCCCACAGAGGCTGTAACAGTGGGTGATGGTATGGAATGATAGGAAGTTCCTGTATGTTGATATATGAGCATTCATCTCAGATGAAACTTTGTTTGTGCAGTCATGATAATTAGAGGTATATGTAGAAGTGCAGCTTGACCTGTCGAAACGGGGACGGGAGCACAGATTTGGGATAATTCCCAGCTCTGCAAATCCAAACTGTGAAAAAGTCATGAGTTGGGCTGTTTGTTCTCAGCAGGGAGCATTGGGCTTTTATTTTGGCCATGGTAAACTCCCCTGGCAATAGTGCAAAGGCTGTTGGGTACAGAGGTGGACTGAGTGGAAGGTCTGTCTTGGTGTTCTGGTGCTTTCTTTGAGAAAGATAACAAAACGGTAAACAGCCCTTAAACTCTTGCCCTTCGAGCCTCCTTACCCACCCACACACTCTTCGTGGTCCAACCCTGTGAAATCATGTCACTGATGGCCCCTACTGAACCATGACCCCTCTGCCTCCATGACAATCTTTGACCCTACATCCAGTTCCCCTTGGCCACTCATACCTCCATACAAGTCTCTGCCTTTTCACTCACCCAGTAACCCTCCATATGCTGATTTTGTGTCAACCCATGCTCACTTGGGGGTGGCATGGTGGCTCAGTGGTTAGCACTGCTGCCTCACAGCGCCAGGCACCCGGGTTCAATCCCACCTTCGGGCAACTATCTGAGTGGAGTTTGCACACTCTCCCTGTGTCTGTGTGGGTTTCCTCCAGGTGCTCTGGTTTCTTCACACAGTCCAAAGATGTGTAGGCTAAGTGGATTGGCCATGCTAAATTGCCCATAGTGTTCAGGGATGTGTAGATGAGGTGGGTTATAGGGGGATGGGTCTGGGTGGGATGCTCTGAGGGTTGGTGTGGACTTGTTGGGCTGAAGGGCCTGTTTCCACACTGTAGGGATTCTATGAATTAGACACCGTGCTCACTCACCAGGCTTTTCCCTTCCACCTATTTGAAAAAAATATCCTAATTGATCAATACAAATTCACTGCATTTAAGTTTGTTTAATCCCTTGGAAGAAGAGAGGTATCATAATTAGAATTCATTGGAATTCATCATCCCATTTTATTGATTTCATAACCATTTGGAGCTATCCATCAAACTGTTTGCTGGCAGCCACCCTGCTATGAAAATCAAAGTTTGTGAAATCAGCCATGCAGCACTAATCCTGTGATTAGGATAGCTGGTTTATTCAGACAGATACAGCGTAATAAGAAGCACCGTATTTTGATCATTATATACCTTGTAAAAATTCTTTAAAGGGCAGGAGCTTTGAATACCTTCTCAGCTCTTTTTGGTAGCTCCTTTTGATAGTTACAAGCATTTTATGCACAATCATGTCTACTTTTAACAATCCAAAGGGCACCATGTTCTCTCTAAAAGGGCACTTGATCTTTTCCACAGGTATCCCGACACATTCGCAAGAAAGGACATTTTGCCTCTACAAAAGTGTACCTTACACCTTCAAAGGATAGCAGCTACCAAACTTTCCTCTACCAGGTCTAAAGTCACAGTTCATGTTTGGGACATGTTGCTAGTCAAACTCAGATCAACCAGCAACGTTTGCATTTGAACATGTGCAGTCGG